ACCGTTTTCTCCGAACTAGATGGAGATGGACCACTCTCCAAGTCCATGCTCCCATAGTCCAGGGGCATCACCTCACTCCCTACTATACTTACTGTTTCTTCGGAAGATATTTTCTCAATCTCTGCACGAAGTAGGGGGGAAGAATGAAGAATGAAGTCAGGACCCCTTTTTTTTTAAAAAAAAAAAAACCCCCCCTCTGTTGCACATTGAAAATCATTCTCACTTCTAACCCTAACTTCCTTCAAAGGACTCTAAACCAACCACAGAAAGGGAGAAAGGAGAGTGACACTTTGACTAAACCAAAATCCAAGGTTCGTATACATTACCTGATTTCGGTTCCGAAAGCTTGATGTAGAAATCCTCAAATGGTGCAGCAGTTCACGTGCAGGAAACACACAGTAAAGCTTTTCGCCAAAGTTTTGCAGAAAAATAAATGCAAGTAAACCTCTTTCTGCAGAAAAAATGCCTATTTATACCTCTGGGCAAAATTAGATCGCAATGGCTGGGATTCGTTTAATCTTACGGTTCCTATTGGCACCGTTTGGAATTCAACGGCCAGCCCCAAACGGCACCATTTTGAACTTGATGGTTCGTTTTAAATCTGCCCGTTTAACTGTTGCAGTTATCTTTTTACGGCCGCATTTATTGCGCACGTCATTCAAAGGACAACTGTCACACCACTCCCCACTCCTTTGTCAGACTTCTCAGACGAGCCCACTTAAACCCATTTCAACACTCTCGCTTACTTTTACACATTCTCAATTTTTGCAAGTGTTTCACTTTGGCTCCAGCCACAGCAATCCTGCATTACACATTTCACTTCGATTACTGCCATAGTGACCCAGTGTCACATGCTTTACTTCGACTCCGGCCATTATGACTCTGGTCATTATATTTTATCACGGCTTCGGCCATTATGACTCTGGTCATCATTTTTTATCACGACTCTGGTTACATTGTGACTCCGGCCATCACTTCTTATTACGGCTCCGGCCACCATGACCCCAGTCATCATCTTTTACTATGGCTACGGCCACATTAAGTCCGGTCATTATTTTTACCACGGCCACGGCTATGATCGCTCTGGTCATATTATATTTAAGGCACCCCCAGAATGACCCATTATTACATACTTCATTATTAGCTACGGCTATGTATGCATTTGAGTTACATATTTTATTTCTTCCTTTTACTTCCATGACTTATCCGTATTCTCTTTGTTTATGCACTCCCCTCATTATCCCCAACAACATCATTCACAAGTGAATGACTTCGGGGGGGAATAGTGTAAGGACAAGTCCGAGGTGCCAAGTCTCGGACTGCTACAGTAATTCCTTTATGACCGAAATGAAGGATAAATCCAAAGCTTCCTACTCAAATAGCTGCATGACAGCGACAATGAGCATGCCCGCACCTAATTCCTTATGATGAGCTTCACAGCAGTTATTTTAGACATCCTTGCATCTGAATATCTCTTAATTTCCCGGTCCCGAAATAACCGTCTGGAGATACACATCAGATCCCGAATATCTTGCTTGGCATGCCACGTGGGTTCCTCATTGGATCCTATAAATACCCCTCACGGGCCACGTCAAAAGGTAATTGAAACCAACCCTAAGCTCTTTTTATCTCCGCCCTAAAAGTAGCCCCGATTATTGCTAACTTAAGCATCAGAGTGTCTACCCCGAGTTCCACCTCGGGGCTTTGCAAGTCATTCCAGAGTGCAGACGTGGACTGAAGAACTTTTGGTTGGATGCAATTATAGTTCGTGGTTTTAATGGTTGAACCAATTTGATTGGTTAGAAAATTGAGTCCATTGAATTTTAAAGATATATATTAAATATATTATAATGCAATTCCTTCCATAAAGTTAAAAGTAGTTTTAGTGGTTAAGAGTCCTTATTTGAAATAGGACTTGAGTTTGAGTTTATTAAATTTTATTATAATAAATATATTTAAAAGTATTTGCGGCAATTGTCTAGGTCCAAATTAGGTGACAAAAGTTGTTCTAAATATGCGGGAGATTAATTGTTTAAATCTCACGAAGCCCTTATGGGTTGTCCTTCAGTCTTTGTAATACTTTTTAACATATAGTCTTTGTAAACCATTTCACAAAAAATTCCGTTGCTCTAGTGGCAAAGGAGTTGTCAAAACTTAATGAGGTCTTTTGTTTGAAACCCAGCAACAACAACCCTCGTAAATTTTGTCCAAATAATTGGCTCGATTGGTTAGACGATTTACTAGTTTTTATAGGTTTGAATAGTTTTAAACGATTTAATCCCCTAAATGGTTTTAAATACCAACTCAATCGAGCCAATCTAGTCTAATTCTTAAAACAATGCTTTAGATTATGTTTGTGAGTCGGGTTGACTCAATAAGTTTATGAACCAATAAAAAAATTAAAAAAATAAAACTAAAAAATTAAAAAATATAAATAAAATAATTATGATGGTTATGGTCAATTAATTTAAATTGTTTGTTTTCCTTAATCAAGTCAACATTAGAAAAAGGTCAAAATTATCTTTTATTAAATTTTAGTTTCCCACAAAACTTTTAAGATCAAGGAATTTGACTCACCAGTTTAAATCTTTTCAAATCAATCCTTTATATTTTGAATTTAATCAAATTAGTCTCTCCACTTTTAAATTTTGTTTCGATTATGCATGCATGTTTCTTATTTTTGTTTCAATTGAGACAAAGGGTTTTCAAGCTCTGTAATTTCATCCATTTACTTTTTAAAGTCAAACCTAAAAAACAAAAAAGGGTTGAATAAATTCTCAAATGTTAAAGTATATAACCGTGTTTTACATGGAGAATTGTGAGATGCGTGTATGCTCTTCCTCATTTGATCGTACCCTTAAATCCTGATCTCTACACAAAAAATGTTTTATGTGACTTATCCCACTTTATAATTTAGACGAGTGGTGACTCATTTCTTTTTTATATTTCACACTTAATTTTTCATTAATTTTTCAATTCATATAAAATTTTGAAATTATAAGTTGTCGTTAACAGCTAGTTAGATAAAAGATGCAATAGTTTCATGCTAAGAGGACCGCAACTATATGAGAAAAAGTGATGAGGCTAAAAGAAATGGGATTTATAAAAGAAATTACCTTTTGCAACCGGTTATCCAATGTTATTATGGTAAACAAGGTGAAAGATAAGTGGCGTATATATGTAGATTTCAAAAATCTTAATAAGGTGTGCCCCAAAGGCAATTACGCACTTCCAAATATAGATTAGTTAGTAGACAATTCCTTTGAGTATATGGCACTTAGCTTGTGCAATGCTTATTCTAGATACAATCAAATCCAAATGGCAAAAGAAGATTAAGACAAAGCAGCTTTTATTGTTGCTAGTGGGCATATTGCTACATAGTAATGCCTTTTGTTAAGAAGAATGCGAGCACAACATAAACAAAATCTTCGTGTTCTTGAAGGAAAAGTGTGTAGAAATGTTTTTAGTATATTACAGAGCTATAACATGAAGTTGAAATCTTGCAAAGTGCACATTTGGAGTGAAAGCTAGGAAATTCTTGGAGTACATGTTAACTAGAAGAGGAATCAAAGCCAACCTAGAAAAGGTGTGTGTGATACTAGAGATGAAACCTCCAACTTTAATAAAAGAGGCAAAAACTTCAAAAGAATATGCCATTGTCAAAGAGCTTTTGACCAACGAAAGATATATCTTTCATTACCACCTTTGATTAGAAACTAATTCCAAGAGAAGTGTTGAATTTTTACATAATAACCACTATAGAGGTAGTCAAATCAATTTTAGTCAGACAAGATAGACACCTATGAAAAAGCTGGCATGCGTAGTTATCATAATAGTCAAGCAATTCAGGTATTATTTCCTTAAGCACAAAATTATAATTTTAACTAATTATCCTCTAAAACATGTGTTACAAAAGCTAGACCTAACAGGAAGCTTAGTAAAAATAGAGCATTGAGCTCATGGAGTTCGAGAGAGAATTCCAACTTTGAAAAGTGATGAAAGCATAGGTTTTGGCAAATTTCTTAGTAAAATTGAGCAGGGAGGAAACATTGTGCTTAACACACCTTTGTCAATACCTCCAGCAAGACAACAATCATAGAAAAAAGAAGAACAATCAATAAAAATGCCACTAAACCTATTATGAACTTTTCATATAGATCGATCTTTCAATGAAAATGGGAGTGAGAAGAAATCATACTCACATCATTTGGAAGAGAAACATTCAAATACACACCAAGGTTTGCATTAGAAGCATAAAAAAACAAAGCTATGTACAAAGCATTACTTAGCATACTCAAGTTAGTGAAAGCTATGAGAGCAAAATATTTAAAGATATTCAGTGACTCACAATTGGTGGTAAACCAAGTGAAGGGAGATTTCAATGCCTAAGAGAAAACCATGGCAAAGGACTTAGAATAAACCATAGATTTTGAAATTGATCATTGAATATAAACTCTACCATGGGAGAAGAGTTGAGAACTCAAAGCTAATGCGTTAGTAAGTCCAACTAGTTTTAAAGTCACAGGATCAAGGAAAAAAGTTTACATCGAAGAATTGAACTCCCCCTCAATATTAGAAGAAGAGATCTTAGACATCAAAGAAGAAGTAACTTGGATGGTCAAAAAATATCCATTCAACAAAGATTTGCCCGAAGATAAAGAAAAGGCACAAAAGATGAAACAAAAAGATGCATGGTACATAATCATCAATGATCACCTTTATAAAAGATCATAAATGGAACCATTTGCTTAGATGTTTAATGCCTAATGAGGCAAGGATCGTGATGGAAGAAGCAAATGGAGGGAAATGCTCTAGTCATATAGCAATGGACCCTTTATTATTGTCAATTGGTTTTAGGTTGAATGCAAGCTTGGTGTTGAAGCTCACATGCACAATTTGTCACACATGAACATTTAAAAGTTAAAGTTAAAGTTGTTAATAGTGATTGATCTTCACATTTGTATACCACTCATAATCATACTATTCTTCTAATGTAGGATTGGGGTATTACAGTTGCCACTTTTTTCTGTTACTTTTGTTAACAAAGAGAAGTAGGGACAAAAGAATAACCTTATTCTTACTCTTGGACAGAAAAGTAAGAGATCATACCTTTAGAACACCTTATCTTGCAATATGGGAAACATGTGAAAATAAAACATTAAATCAAAATGCTAATGAGGCAACATGTGTAGTGAAATGTTATAATGCCAATGAGACAATATGCAAAAAATGAAATGGAAAATGCAAATAAAGTATGCCAACAAGGCAAAATGAGAGATGAAGATAAGGTACGTTAACAATGGGAAATGAACATTGGATGAAGCAATGAAGAGTTCACTAAATGAGGTGACATGTGAAATGAAATATGTTGGATAAGGTGTTAAAGTGTGTGCTGCACAAGGCAATAAGTGCATTGGATGAAGTGACTATGTCAGATAAGGCATCAAAGAGTGCCCATGACAAAGTGACTTGTGAAAAGAAATCCAACATACAACGCATTAAAATAGTACACCATATAAGGTGACTCATGTCAAACAAGGTATTAAAGAGTACACCAAATGAGGAGACTTTCGTAAGGAAATACACTTGACGAGACATTAATGAGTGCACTAGATAAGGCGACTCATGCTCGATGAGACATCTAAGAGAGCACCAAAAGAGGTGACACATGAAAGGAATTACACTAGACAAGCATTAAAGAGTGCACTAGATGAGGTGATTCATGCTAGACAAGGCAGTTGTAATGCTCTAAATCTCATATCGATGGGAAATTGTGAGTGAATCTAGTATAAAAATATAGAGACCAACCACTATTGATAACTTGAACTTAAGCTTTTGAAGGCTTATGGACCTTTGCTCAAAGAGTGTTTACACCAATGGCAAACTTCAACATGAGTTGTTTTAGTTGGTATCAAAGCAACAACCTCTTTCAAGTGTAGGCCCAAGTTAACCATCACTACCTATGATACATCACTTAAGATGGATCCTGTGCTTACGACCCAGTGGGTTTAGTTCTAATTATGCTTGAGCTTAATGAGGACATCAAGCATTTAAGTGGGGGAGATTGTTAAGCCTTGAATTCCACATTAGTGAGGAATCATGAGTAAGTCTAATATATAAGTGTAGAAACTAACCATTCCTAACAACTTAAACTTTTTAAGGATCTATAAACATTGACCTGAAGAGTTGTTAAATCAATGGTGAGTTTTATCTTGAGTTATTTTAGCATTAAAGAGTATATTGAATGGGGTGACTCATAAAAAAAAATTACACTAGATAAGGCACGTTAAAGAGTGAACCAAACATGGTGACTCATTCTAGATGAGGCATTAAAGAGTTCCCCAAATGAAGGTGACTTGTGAAATGAAATAAAGACTGTTAGTTTGTCTGCATAGAAACACGCGATAAGCTAATTCTATTTTTAAAATATTTTAGAATTGTATTTCATACTTTATCAAACTAAAGTAAGAGGTACTCCTTCACTCCAGGGAATAATGAAGGTTGTTCTCTTTTCTTTTCTTTTTTTTAGAATTTATTTCAAAATAATATTTATTTTTTTATATTTTAAGAGAGTTAAATAATTTTTTTATTTTAACTTTATTATTATTTATTGACTTTAACTATTCATTCTATCTCTTTATTTTTATTTCTTTTTTACGGTTAATATTATTCTAAATAGGACGGAGCGAGTATAGAATTGCAAATAAATTTTAAAAATTTTTAATCAAATGAAAAACAAAGCTGCAAAAAATAAATAATGGAATTAAAATGAATTTTTTTTAATAAAACTAAACAAAATGGTATATATTTTGAAATAAATTTCACAATTTTGTTTTGTGAGTTTCTAAGGGCATAGAATGAAATTGTATTTATTAGACTTTTTTATAATTAATTTATCTTCAAAACTCAAAAATTAACTTCTCACATTGGTACTTTTTGCTCTTGTCATTCAGTGGATGCGTTACTCTTTTCATGTCGGTACTTTCTACTCTCCCTCTATTTTATTTTTCAATTTTTAACGTTCCTAAAGGTATCCTTGTTTATTTAGTTAAAATCAAAAAGAACTTTTTATGCAGGGGTTCAGATAATCATAATAAGATTGCCTAGGTGAACTAGAGTAGAGGCTACCTTGATAAATCAAAGGGTGGGCTTGGCATTCTAGATCTTGCAATTAGAAACATTGCCTTTTTAAGGAAATGGTGGGGTAAATTTTATGATGATAATGAAAATGGGAAGCTATGAAAGAAGATCATTGTTAGCAAATACTATGGAGGTGTAACAACTGTACCTATTGCTAATACAGTTTATTCAAGACTGTCTCCCTTTTAGAACAACATTTTGTCTATTGGTAAGGATGGTAAAAGAGCTACTGCTTGTTTTGTTGATGGTTTTGCTCAAAAGTTAGGTGATGGCACAAAAACTAGACTTTGGAAGGATGTTTGGTTGGGGAATTCTTCTTTTATGTTTGACTTCCCTTGCCTATTTAAACTCACTCAGTGCAAGGACTCACTAGTTGTGGACTCAAAGCTAACTAATGTAGGTGGATGGGCTCTTCAATGGCGTAGAACCCCCCTTGGCAAGGAACTGGATGAGCTTGGGGTGCTGGAAGATATTTTGAAAAAAGTCGTCATCCCAAAAGATGAAGTTGATCAAGTTATTTGGAAGCACAGCATGGCAGGGTACTTTGCAAAACAAGCTTACATATTCCTTGAGAATTCCCCTTCATACCTTGATAACAATTGCTGCTAGATTATTTAGAATCCATTTATGCCATACAAAATTAGCTTCTTCACTTGGCATCTCTCCCTAAATTGGCTCCCTACCAAAGACAACCTAATCATTCGTGGAGATGATCTTGTATCCAACCCAAACTGTGTCCTCTATAGAGAATATGTGGAAGATCTTAACAACATCTTTGCACCTTATTGGTACACTCAAAATATTTGGAAACGAATATGTTGGTGGTGGGGGATATCTTTTGTCCCTTCTGAAAATGCTTCCCTTTTGCTTACGCAGCTTTGCTCCCTTATGGACACTAAGAATTCATGAAACTGCTGGGTTCTCACTATTTTCACCATAACTTGTACAATCTGGTACTTTAGAAATGGTATTGTGTTTAATAAACTGTCTTGGAAGGAAAGCAGTCTTGTTGATTTAGTGCAAGCTAAGACTTTTGGTTGGATTAAAGGAAAGTCAAAATTGGTAGTGTTTAACTATGGTGATTGGTGCCAATTTCCAAAACTTTGTGCTGCTGAAACATAGTCAGCAAACTACTATCCTTGTATCCCCATTTCTCTTGTAAGGGTGAGTACCACTTGTACTCATTTTAATCAATTTTTATTCATAAAAAAAAATTAACTTTATTTTTTTCAACTGTTTAATTAAAAAAATACATGTGGCATTGGTGATAAAAATAAGGTCAACTTTTTTTATTTTTTATAATAATTAAATATAAAAGGTGTAATTAATGTACCCTTAACGTATGTCCTTAGATTATAGCTTAAATGAACTTTTTTTTTTTGTTTGTAAAATTCATTTAAACCGAAGGTGAACAATGAACTTACCTTTTGCAAAATGAAAAACATTAACAGAAATCTATGTTGAACGATTCTAACGTTCTCAATCTCAACTCAACTAGGAAATTCAACTAGGAGAGTCATGAGTATTTTCAGAAGTTTGATTTCAACCATACTTGGAATGGGCATTGTAATATCCTAAAATTTTCTAAGACCTTAAAATTTAAGTTAGGGACTTATGTGGTAGAAATTATTTTTGTTGTATTTAATAGTTAAAATTCACAAAGCTAAGGGGGTAAAAGTCAAAATTTGAGGATAAAAAGGGCTGAGCTGATTTTCTCTTTCTCTCCTTGCCTTTTTATCGTGGTTTCGCCTTAGCTTTTAGCAGAAATTTTGCTGAACAAGCCCTAGCCCATGCCATCTTCATCCCACTAGAGTAAGGTGAGATTTAGCATTTTTCTTCCTTCTCCTAGCAAGGGTTAGAAATTTATGAGTTTATGATTCTTAAAATCATGATAAAAACCCAGATCTTGCTGTTGGTATCCTTCCATTTTCTAGTCCATGTCGGGTGTGAGGAGAGGCTACCATTTTTCCAACACTTTCGGTAAGAAATTTGACATATTGCTCACCTTTTCATCTTTAATTTGAAGTGAGTTATCTTTAATCATTTAGGGTTTTCAATTTTGGGAATGTATGTGTAGTTTCCCCCTTGATTTACTCATAATCTAGCATGATCTCTCTTTTTGCTGCAAATTCGGATTGCATGACCTTGCAGTGGTATTTTTTTCATAACTCTTTTTGTAGTTATCGGATTAAGTCGATTCTTGATTCTATAGAAAGCTAAGAGATAACACTACAATTTTTATGTTGGAATTTAATCCAATTCAGCTGTTTTCAAGGTAAGAACTCTGCTGCAATTTCGGACCCTGCAGGTGGACTGCACTGGCAGCCCGACCTTCTGTTAGTATTTTGGCCATAACTTTCTCTGTAGAAGTCGGATTAAGGTAATTCTTGAGTCTATAGAACGCTAAGACATAGGGCTACAATTTATCTGTTGAGAACTCAACCCAGATCAGCAAATTTCTGGATATAAATTCTGTTGGAAATTCCAGCACGAAATTTGATTAGAACTTGACAAAAATTTGCTCTCTTTTCTATTCTATTCCCATTTTATCTGCTGCTACATTGCATCATGGCATAAAATAAACACTTGATCCCAAGATATTCAGGCAGCATGAGAGCAATGCAATGATATTTTCTTACAAATTTGAGACCCCTTCCTTCTTCATCTTTCTTTTGATCTTGTTTTCAGATTTTGTGCATCCAATTTCTCATCCTGTTTCTTCATAACTCTAATATAATTTGAAACTGTTTACAGCCATGGAATGCAAGATCAATCGATAGTTGGTGCTCTGTCTACTCATTATCTACTTCTCTCTCAATCCCTCTATCTGCAGCGGTGAAGTTTTTGAGTTGAGTTTCTTCGCACCAGGCAAATCCTCCAACTACTACATAGGCATGTGGTACAAGAAACTGTCTGAACAGGCCATAGTTTGGGTTGCAAATAGAGAGAAACCAGTCCACGATTAAAATTTTTCAGTTTTAAAGATTTCTGTTGGTAATTTGGTTCTTTTCAATGAATCCCAAGTTCCCATTTGGTCTGCAAACATAAGGTCCATTGATTCAAGTTCTGTGGAAGCTGTTCTTGGGGATGACGAGAATTTAGTTCTGAGAAATGGGCCTAATTCTAAATCCTATAATTCTACATCCTATCCTATTTATGGCAAAGTTTTGATTTTCCTGTTGATACATGGCTTCCTGGTATGAAGATCAGGTTTGACAAGAAGACTAATCAAAACCGACTTCTTACTTCATGGAATAATTCTTAGGATCCTACTCCAGGACTCTTTTATATTCAGCTTGATCCAGAGGGGTCCAATTCATATATCATACGGTGGAACAGGTCTGAACGGTACTGGACTAGTGGATCCTGGGACTGGGAACGAAAGATCTTTAACTTGGTTCCTGAAATGATATTGAAATACATCTACGATTTTAGCTATATTGACAACGAAAATGGAAGCTATTTCACATATTCTATCGAAGATTCTTCTATTGTATCTAGATTTGTTATGGATATTTCAGGACAGGTTAAGCAGTTGTCTTGGTTGAAGAGCACCCAGAAATGGAATTTGTTCTGGTCACAGCCTAGACAACAGTGTGAGGTTTATACATTTTGTGGGGCATTTGGCAGTTGCCATGAGAATGCTTTGCCTTTTTGTAACTGCATGCAAGGGTTTGAGCCAAAATCGGACCATGATTGGGACTTGAAAGATTATTCTGGTGGATGTGTGAGGAAAACCCAACTGCTGTGCCAGAATCAAAGTCACGTTAATGGGAAGAGTGACAAATTTTGAGTAAACTCCAACATGGCATTACCGAGGCATCCATAAACTGCCACGGCCGGAAGCATCGGGAGTGTGAATCCACCTGCCTGAGGAACTGCTCCTCCACTGCTTGTGCTTATGAGAACAATGGGTGTTCAGTTTGGTATGGGGATCTCTTGAATCTACAACAGCTTGCAGGTGGTGGAGTAAAGGGAAAACTACTATATCAGACTTGCAGCTTCTGAATTTTCAAGTTCCAAAAGCAATAAAGCAGTGATTATTGGTGCTGTTGGAGGTTCAGTGGGACTACTTCTGTTTGCCTTTTTGATGCTTGTAAGATTCAGGCAGAGAAAGAGAACAAACAAAACTATAAAGGTAGTGTTTACACCCATTTTTGCAAAATAGTATAATGATTTCACGTGTCATCCATGTTGGTAGATATTTCATTAGTTGAAAGTTGTTGGAGTAAATCTCTCTGGATAAGGTTGAGTAGTTATTTCCACAACTACAGCAAGGTTGTTGGTTTGTTGCGAACTTCCAGGAGAATAATTGGCAGAATCAACAGAATAATCAGTTTGTTTCAGATTTCATGCTGCTGTTGATTGTCAAGTTGTTGCCACAGATTTCCAAGCATGCTGCCAAGGGTGTTTACTGCTATAAAGATGCAAAGAAGAAATGAAGCGAAGGAGACCAGCCTCTCACACAACTAGCCTAGTGTTATCTACATTTTAATTTTACAAGCAATGTCTTAGTTTAGATCCAGTTTCCCCAAACAGCTTTCCTAATTTAGTCTGTAGCTCTACGCTGCCATTAGTTTTAGCTCTGATTTTTGTTATTTTGTTTTGAACATCTCCATTGATGTATTTAGTTTCCTGCAATTCAATTTACTGCACTTTGCCCCAAAATTCATCTTTCTAGCTTCTTTAAAGTTTAGTTTTATGCTTCAACTTCTATTTCGTTTTTTACGTTTTCTACATTTTCATACTTTCGCGACGGCATCACGCTTTCTCTTTGCAATTTAGTTTTCTCACCATGCACTCTCTTTCTTCTCCTTTCCTTTATTTTCCTCTTTTATTTTAATCAACAAACTAACATTTCGGCCCTAGTTGTGGGAAGTCCCTGATGTTCTTCCAG